TGGGTTGCTGAAGACCTATTCTATCCCGGATCTTCACGGCTCCTCAGTGATACAACTGATGTTCTTTTCAGCGTAACCAAACTCACAATTTACTAGGGCCTCAACTCGAGTGAGTTTGGTTCAACTCACTCTTTTCACGCATAACATAGCTATCGGGGAACTACAAGATAATAATAATTAGTTCTCTACTGCTGGACGGTGCTTGCTGCTCGCGAGGCGCTTGTGTTTTGAAATGAAAATTAATTCTAAGCTATTTGTCGTGATCACTTTAGTTCTATCGCCTTGCTACACCCAGAATATGTAGAGTGCGTCATGGAAAATGATAAACACAAAATTCTTTGGAATTGGCCTTAGACCTATCCAGGCCCTCAAAACCTGATCTTGTCCTTTTTCATAAATCCAATGAAATCATCTGTCTCTTTTGACACTAAAGTGATTGACAAGCTTCAGGACAAACATGGCAAATATGTGGACCTCGATTTCTAAATGTTACACTTGCATCCCAAGTACCAAGTTGTCCGACTCCCCATCTTCTCGGTTCCTTAGGTTTGGTACCTCCCAATCTGATGACTGACATTGGGAGGGTACCCGGGTTTGCTACCTCCCAATCTGTTGACTGACATTGGGAGGGTACCCGGGTTTGCTACCAGCCCTTCTGACAATCTGGGTAATGTCGAAGGCTGCAGAGTTCGGGAGTCTTCACATTCTCTGAAAGGTTCTTGGTGGGTTCGACTGGGCAGCGCTTCCTGGGAGAAGTCCCATTCGCTGTCTGGGCTGCGTGAAGAGAGAGCAAGGTCCCTGAGCTGATGATGAGCCTTACCAGCCTGACTGCCAGGATACAGAAACCCTCTTTGCTGAATTTGTTTTCTTTTAATGAACCTCCTCTGTCCTATTTACATTCAACGTGGACTAGAGGTTGACTATATTTAACTATAAAATATTAAAAAATATAATGAAGAGTTTTTAATTTATTCTTACATGTATGGACAGAACGGTGGTAACAACAATAAAATCGACAAACCATGAGAAGTTTCAGCTACACCCCTTAATTACGTTAATGATACATATATCTTTTGATTATTGATTACTGACCATTTACCCTTTGATGTATGAATAGATAAAAATGTCTTTTAGCAGTATTACATTTGTGATACTTTCGATAGGTTGAAGATTTGTTTGTTTGTTTGTTAACGCCGCACTCAGCAATATTTCAGCTGTATGACGGCGGCCTGTGTAAAAACAATTGAATCTGGACCAGACAATCCAGTGATTGATATCATGAGCATCGATCCACGCAATCAAACCAGGTCAGCGAGCCTGACCACCCGATCCCGTTAGTCGCCCCTTACACCAAGCATAGTCGTCTTTTACACCAAGCATGGATTGCTGAAGACCTATTCTACCCCGTATCTTCACGGGTCTGATAGGTTGAAGAAAGAATTTTACGACTGCTTTAAGAAGGGAACTCTTCACACCAGACATGTCAAGGTAAGAATAGAATCCCCCGCGTCATACCAAAAGACGTTAAAAGATGGTACTTGTTGTTACCATACCAGGATCTCGGCATTAAGGGTCTAAAACAAGGACTGGTCGGCTCGGAGTCAGTATACTGTGTCTAAGTTGGGTATTTATGTTAAATTGCGTATCTAAGTGAGCTAGCACAATAAAATCGGCATCAGTCCGGACAAGTATAAGCAGCCACACACGTGCATGCACGTTGCGAAGTAAGTGCATCAATCTCCACCATTTCACCTCAGCACTACCTCTATTTCAACGTATTTACTCTCAGTTCAACTTTGTTCATGGCAAATAGACGTATCCTTTATTCATTATTTGGCTGTATGTGTATTACAATTACATTGCTTGGTTAAAAATATATATGAACAAATATAATCGACTACACTGACCATGTCGGAGAAGCGTACGTATTATACCATATTAACGCAGGGTTGCCTTTTTACCAAAGCAATGTTCGGTTAATATTCCATAGTATTACGTACCTTAATGTCATTGCTTTATTTCATGACTGCCAAGACGACACTTTCAGACGTATTTTCGCCTCCTTTGTTCTTGTATATGCATAAGGTGCGTTCAGATTTTTACATTTCCAAACTCTCACGTGATCGCAGGTTGTTTGTCTCTTTGTTTGTTTGTTTGCCTTTTAACGCCGCACTCAGCAATAGTCCAACCATATGACGGCGGTGTGTAAATAATCGATCCTGGACCAGACAAACCAGTGATTGAAATGTTGATCTTCATCTTTTTTCCCATTCCACATTACAGCCTATAGGTGTGAGAGAATGTAGTGTACAATAGACAATATAGGTGTAATTTACACAAGTCACAATCGCATTGCTTTGTATAGATAGGTGAATGAGTGAGGATGGTTTTCCAGCAATATCACGGCGGGGGACACCAGAAATGGGCTTCACGCATTGTACCCATGTCGGGAATCGAACCAGGGTCTTCGGTGTGACGAGTATAGACAGTAGGTTCATCAGATTAAGACATCAACATATTTAGCTTATATCATTTGTGGCATAAGTAGAATGTAATTGGTATATATTTACATCCCAAATGGTGATGGCTACAAATTGATACTCATCATCTACTTTACCATGGTTACAAACCAAACATAACCGTTGAAGTTTTAGCTCTTTTCTGTATCACGAAGCTAGGAACAACATCTCAATCGAGCAAACTTGTTTTAAATCTTAAATTGAATTTTGAATGCATCATAAAGGGTTAATTTTGATAGGGCTGCGCACCAACCTTGGTCATAAGATGATTTTTCACTTTATTTAAGACATGAAGCTGGCAATGTTATTTATAGATTGCTGTCCTCATTCGAACCCAAAGCATCTGATGCCCAGGTGGCCATACCATTATTACAGTCTAACATGAATACATAATAACAGTTCGTTTCAAAACGTGATCCTCTTATGTTGAGTATTTTAACAAATACTTAGCAACACGTTTACATGCAAATATGTACATCCGTAGAATACTTCCTTATTCTCTTCCAATATCATTTGAGGACGACTGCTACACACATAAAAATTGCTTACACGCGAACATTTGTAGAACTTCTTTTTCCGGGGATTTATCTAGAACCCATACTTCAGAACCATGCAGTAAAATTTGCCAGATTCTGAGTCAAATGTTTAAAACAACCGACGGTAAAGGCTGCAGCTTGTACAGCGACTTTATAGTTTCAAAGAGAACCGAACGGAGGCCTTATTAACTGATTAGACCATGACAGTGATCTAGAAAATAATACTCCAGGGTATTTATTAAATACACACGCAAGTTCATGCTCGTCAAATTACCACCCCTCGAATCTTGATAAAGTGTCACCCATTTTGAAAACAAGAATTTTGTCTTATCTAGATTAACTGAGAAATGGTAGTTGTCACAAAAAGATTTTCAGACATCAATATTATTTGGAGCCCATAGATAGTATCAGCAAAACGGACAATATCCTATATGATATCAATGTATAGCTGTACATTTGGAGCAGAAGGTGAATCCATTTGTCAAGCAAGTTAATTGATAAACATGAGGAATAGGAAAGGAATCATCACACAGCCTTGTCTAAGACCTAGAGGACAATCAAAACATTTAGAAAAAATATAACTTGTCTTAGCACATCCTTTGACACAACCATAAATAGACTCCTGTGCAACTAACATCTTTGGTGAAACACCATATAGTTTAGAATAAACCATAATTAATATTCATGATCATTAAATTAAAATCAGTATTAGAATGTCCAGTCTGTTCAGTGGAGTTGCCATCACATTCTTCGAAAAAAATCTTAAAATGCAAAAACCATTCCGAAATATTTATGTTATCCTTTTGTGGCTTCTTTGTTGTATATTTTCTTAGTACAGCCTGAAACGCTTTTGATTTGTTATTTTGTCTAACAGAGCATCTCTTACAGAAGCACTATACTGTCTCTGTTTAATCCTGATTAGGTCAATCTTCCCGAAGCAAGTGAGTTAACTGACCTTAAAAGTCCAGTTTCCACCCTTGCCGAACTAGGCTGGTATTATGGAGTTATATTTTGGCTGGACTAACGAGTCTATGCATAGTTCAATCAAAATCGTGTAACGAAGTCGAAATCCAGTTCGTTAACTGTCGAGCAGATTCTGGTTGATTGCAGGATTTGCAAAACATGTGCCCCGTCAACTCGGTGTCAACAGATATTTTCTAAATCTTTTCATGTCTTTAGTCAAGGTGCTCACATGATTTTTTGCTCTTTGCGATGTAAGACCAGTTTTATGACAATATAGATATTGATTACTGATCAGATTGCCTTGACTCTGCGCCGCCATTTTGTTTGAAGCAAATGCATGTGGTACAAGAGGCGGAATCTGATTGGTCCATAGGAGAGGCAGAAAAGGGACACAACTCGTAATAACCACTGGTGGCACTACGATTGGGCCCAGAAATTCCAGCCAAGTTCGGCAAGGGTGGAAACAGGACTTTTATAGTTAGTTAACTCCCTTGCCTCGGAGAGATGAATTAGGTCATTATATCTATTGCATTGAGAAATGTCGCATTGAAGTGATACATTTTGTTTATCTACTAAATAAATTCAATAACCTTAGAGTTTAGAATCTGTCATAGGAAGTAATACACAAGATAAAATTTATGAAGTTTGAAGTACATGTTTTATTGAAAATTTCTACTGATAACTTGGTCCAACAAATGCAAGTTAACATAAGTGTCATATCATAAAGTATAACGAGAGATGGATTAAACAAGAGAGGGGGGATGTGACCCAGTGGGGCAATTGGCAGGGTTGGAATAGGCCGTGGTGAGGTGAGGTGGTTGTGTCCAAGATTATTGCACTTCTGCAGCGACATGCATGCACATGTGTGTGGTGTGTGTGGCTTCTTGTACTATTCCGGACTGATGCTGATTTGATAGTGCTAGCCCACTGAGATATCATGCCGCGGTTTAACATGAATACTCCTATCAGACACAGTATACCGACCAGTCCTTGTTTTAGCCCCTTAATGCCAAGCGCCAGAGGGGGTAACAACAAGTAACATCTTTTTTGGTATGACACGGACGCTCTACCACTAGACCATGGCAGCAGTCTATAGACTGGGGGACCTTGGCCTAGGTGAGAATAGGCCTGATGCAAATAAACCCATCTATGCCCCACATCTACGCCGAATGCCCTACTGAGTGAATATATTATGCGCCAAACAATAAATTGTTCCACAAACAGGTGAGGCCGAACATTGAGACAGACTCCATCTTCCTGTTTGGGACCATGACCTATCTACATGCTACCCACATTCTGCGTTCCCAATTTCCACCTGCACAACCTCCCCATGTGTCATATGATCCCGTCTCCCAGGTACCCAAGTCATCTCCCACCCTATCCCAGACATGCTACCCACATTCTGTGTTCCCCATTCCAACCTGCCCAACCTCCCCATGGAGTTTTATATGATTTCTGAAAGCAACTTCTTTGTCAAAATGAAGATCACAAATCTGACATAGGTATTTCACCCCAGCCATATGAACCTGTTGGTGTCTCACAAGGTCCTCCTCTCTTGAATATGTTGCATCACACACACCACACATACACATGGGCACAATTCCACTTATGTTCTCTCTATCCACAGGAACTAGTGTAACAGGGTTGCTGGTTCTCAGGGGTGGTGTCACTGCATCCGAAGATGATCTGATTGCTCCGTGTTCATTAAAGCGCATCTTGAGGCCATCATTCTTGGCATGCTGCAGAGGGCATGTTGAGTTTTTTATCATTTTTGGGGAGTAACAATGACAACTGTGTCTTTTCTGATGTATCTTTAGCACAGCCTCCATTGAAAACATCTTCCCACAAGCCCCACACTTGAATCCTTTCCCAGAATGAGACTGGATATGACAATCAAATATCCTCCGGTCTTGGAATATCCGGCCACATCTATAACACTTGAAGCAGCAGCTGACCCTGTGAGACTCTGTATGAAGCTTAAAAAGTCCTATGAAGGAAAACCCTTTGTGACATATGTCACAAGAATAGTTTTGAATACGAGTCATTCCACGACAAGAACCTTCACTGTGGATGTATGTAGATCTGCCACCATCAGCAGCTGTATTCTCTTGATGACCCTGGACTTGACTGTGTGTCTGGAGGTGGGAGGTGAGTGAAGCTGCTGTCCCAAACCGCACCCCACACAGGCTACACTGATACAGCAGGTCGGCCTGGTGGAGCTTCTCATGCAGCATGGCCTCTCTGCCAGACACCAGCACCTTCTTACACAAGTCACACTGGAACATGGAGCTACTTCTACTCATTGTCCAAGATGCTGATGGTTCTGTAATCTTAGCTGCTACATGAAATGACCTAGTGCGTTGAGTGTCATTAGTCTCTTTTGAAGACAAGGTTCCAGCGTCAGCAACTGTAGCTCCTTGTAGAGGTTCCTTGCTGCCTAGATTAACAATGTCACATCTGTGAAGTGATTCTGTCCTTGTGTTTCCCATAACCTCATTTCCTACACTGCAAGACTTTATTCTTTCAGTACTTTCTTTACTGTAGGCCAAATGGGTAGATCCGACACTTTCAGTACCCTTTTGGGCCTGAGGCCTTTGTAGAGGCTGGACAGTTGACTTGAGCACATCAGCTTCCAGTTTGATCTCCACCTCATGAAGGGTTAACTCCACCACAGCATCACTGACCTCAACTTCTGTAAGACCAATTTCAGTGTCTACAACAGCTGGACCCATGTTTACAGGAGAAACAGATAACTCTTCTTCTCTCTCCTCTATTGGACCAATTTCTGTGTCTACAACAGCCTGACCAATGTTTACAGGAGAAAGAGATAACTCTTCTTCTCTCTCCTCTGTTAGACCAATTTCTGTGTCTACAACAGCCTGACCAATGTTTACAGGAGAAACAGATAACTCTTCTTCTCTCTCCTCTGTTAGACCAATTTCTGTGTCTACAACAGCCTGACCAATGTTTACAGGAGAAAGAGATAACTCTTCTTCTCTCTCCTCTGTTAGACCAATTTCTGTGTCTACAACAGCCTGACCCATGTCTACAGGAGAAACAGATGCATCTACTCTCACCTCTGTTGGACCAATTTCAGTGTCTACAACAGCCTGACCCATGTCTACAGGAGAAACAGATGCATCTACTCTCACCTCTGTTGGACCAATTTCAGTGTCTACAACAGCCTGACCCATGTCTACAGGAGAAACAGATGCATCTACTCTCACCTCTGTTGGACCAATTTCAGTGTCTACAACAGCCTGACCCATGTCTACAGGAGAAACAGATGCATCTACTCTCACCTCTGTTGGACCAATTTCAGTGTCTACAACAGCCTGACCCATGTCTACAGGAGAAACAGATGCATCTTCTCTCACCTCTGTTGGACCCATTTCTGTGTCTACAACAGCCTGACCCATGTCTACAGGAGAAACAGATGCATCTTCTCTCACCTCTTTTGGACCCATTTCTGTGTCTACAACAGCCTGACCCAATCCCAAAGGAGCAATAGATGCATCTTCTCTCACCTCTACTTTAGGACTGGATAAATCTGCTTCTATGACCGCCTCACTGATCTCAACTATCTCGATATTGTCTCCAGCCAGACAGGCAGGGTCATTGTCCACACCAGGGAGAGATTGAAGGTGAAACTGCTGGGCTGCTCGTGGCAGTGACTGGTCAGGAAGTTCTGTGTCCCGATCTAATTCTTTATCTTTCTTTACTTTCACAGATTCAAACTGAAACAGGAAGTCTTTTTCCTGTAACAACTGACCTGGTTGCATGGACTCCACATCCTCCTTCACACCATAAGATGACATGCCTGCTTTAGAGTAGACTGTTCTTAAGACACTTTGAAGAATTGATGGCTGAAGTCGAGGCAAGGGTTTTTTAGACACCTTACACACACCTTCATGGGCACGATAATTTTCTTTGGAAACAAACAGCTTATCACATTTGTTACATGAAAATATCTCGCCATTTTCCTTTCGGACATGGACATTTTTCATGTGTGACAGTAGACCTTTTCTGTCATAGAAATGTTTGAAGCATTTATCACACATTTCTTCCTTCTTCTGATCATGGACTCTTTTCCTATGACTCTTCAACTGTGATGAGTTGACGAAGCATGCCGGACACTGCTGGCACCGATGAGGTCGCTCACCTGTGTGTGAGCGTCGGTGAATCAACCAATTACCGTGCTGGATGAACTTCTTCCCACAGAAGTCACACTGGTAGTTCTTCTGTCCTGTGTGGATCTGAATATGCTTTCTCATCACATACTTGGCAAAGAACTTCTTCCCACAGTGTTCACACTCATAGTTTCTTTGTCCCTTATGGACATTGAGGTGATTGATGTAATTTGTCCGGCTTGTGTATTCCTTACCACAAAGTTCACACTTAAAACGCTTCTCATTGCAGTGAACGTTCCCATGTTCGCGAAGCAAAGCACGTGTCCTGAAAGACTTACTGCAGATGTGACAGCAGTGAGGTTTTTCTCCTGTGTGGATCAGCTGGTGATTCTGAAGGTTGGTATGAGACACAAAGTATTTTCCACAAACTTCACAACAAAAAGGCTTCAGGCCACTGTGTGTTTTGACATGTGCCATATGACATGGTTTGGTCTTACTCTCCTTGCCACAAGTGTCACACCTGAACCTTGTGTCACCATGGATAAGCTTGTGATTCTTCAGCAGGGATATCTTCTGGAAGTCCTTCCCACAGACATCACAGACATGACCGAGGATGTGATCATGTTGAACATGAGGGTCGTTCCTATGGCTTTTTCTATGCGAGTAATACACACAGGCTGAGTTCAGGGATACTCCACATGCAGAACATGTGAGACTCATTACTGCTGTATGTTGTTCGAAAATATTCTGTGTTGTGAATGACCTCCGACAATCAGGACATTTAATATTGCGCAAAATCTGAAGACCATGTTTCTTTAAATGTTTTGACAGATCTTGAAAGTTCATGCCGTTGCGATGGCAGAATTCACAGTTATAGAAAGGGTACCGAGTGTGCAGCAACTGATGAGACTCCCTCTTTTCTTCCGAGGCAAAGAACTTTTTACACACTCCACAGGAAAATGGTTTCTTTTCATGAAGCAGGACATGAGCATGGTATGAACCCTGCTGGACAAATGTCTTTCCACATGACAGACATTCAAATTTCTTAATTCCTGAATGAACTAACAGATGCTTTTTCAATGCCTGTTTTCGACGAAATGTCCTGTGGCAATGTTTACAATCGTAGGGCTTCTCCCCTCTGTGGAACAGCATGTGAGCCTGGTGATTACTTTTACTGGAGAAGGTTTTCCCACAGTCAGCGACTTCACACTTGTAGCTTTTCACAGCTAGGTGAGTCTTGCTGTGTTCCCTGCAGTAGGACCCGGTCTTGAAACACTTGCCACAGACCTCGCACATGAAAGGCCGATCCTCTGAGTGAAGTTGCTTATGTTGATGCATGTTAGACTTGAGGGCGAACCTTTGTCCACAGATGGAACATGGATATGGCTTCTCACCAGAGTGACAGCGTTCATGAGTGACAAGAAGACTCTGGTTGACGAACACCTTGCCACAATATGAACAGAAGTATTTTGTGCTTACTGATCTCTTCCTCCGAAAATTCTGCGTTCCCTTTTTTATAAGAAAAGATCCATCTTGATCCTTCTCATCTTCTGATGATCGTACGGGTGTTTTGCTGGCGTATTCTGAGGGAGATTGGATCCTGGACACTTCATATTCATTAAGGGACAAAAAGCTGTCAGTCAAACATGATTCATCAACGTTCTTCTTCTGGTGATTTCTATCGGATTTCCTTCTTTGGAGTACACAGTTTGTTGTTAAACTGGATCTTTCACTGCCTGAGATCACCTTAGTAGGTGAGTCTGAACTCCTATCAGAATACGCATTAACCACAATTTTCTTTCCTAACTGATTACCTGCATGTGTGTCTGTTTCACTCATCTTAACAGGACTCAGCTGTAGTTTAGCAACCAGCAAGTCCTTACACTCAGGATCACCAGTTTCTATCAAGCGTGCCTCCTGTACTTCATCTGACATCTCATCACTTCTCACCACCTGTTCTCTAGCACCTACAGGCACATCCTGCTGTTCTTTAGCCTCTGCAGACACATCATGCAGTCCTTTAGCACCTGCAGACACAGCCTGCTGCTTCCTACCACCTACAGGCACATCCTGCTGTTCTTTAGCCTCTGCAGACACATCATGCAGTCCTTTAGCACCTGCAGACACAGCCTGCTGCTTCCTACCACCTACGGGCACATCCTGCTGATCTTTAGCCTCTGCAGACACATCATGCAGTCCTTTAGCACCTGCAGACACAGCCTGCTGCTTCCTACCACCTACAGGCACATCCTGCTGATCTTTAGCCTCTGCAGACACATCATGCAGTCCTTTAGCACCTGCAGACACAGCCTGCTGCTTCCTACCACCTACGGGCACATCCTGCTGAGAAGGCCCCCATGGAATCCCACACTCTGCTTGTGATGCTACAGAGACCCTACCAGCTCCGGGTGACTCTGGACAACACTTAAACATCGGACTCTCTTCACGTCCAACCGGTCCAGTTACCCAACTGGACGTCTTTGTACCACTCTTGTGTATTTCATCACCAAACACTTCCTTAACACTTGTTTGAGAAGCTTCCACACACTTCCTGCTAGATTTTTCATATCTCTGTTGCTTCAGTCTGGGATGTTTTGCTGAAATATTTTTCTGTTTTCTGCCATAGTTGTCAGTTGAGCTCCTTGTGTTTCTCCCATCAGGGGATACTGGTATCCTGTCTTGCTTCTTTGAAGACAAAGATATCTTATCATACTCATACATGCTGCACACATTTTGTTTCTTCTCTCTTGAACTCCTCCTGACTGGCTCAAGTGCTGTCCTGACACCACAGGTCTCTGCCATTTTTTTCCCCACACTCTGAACCCAGAGTCAAAACTGGAACTGCTGTCCCCTGCTGACACCTGAAACATGAATGAATACTTCAGCTATTGTCGTAAACAATAAGGCCAGAGTACCACAGGCTCACAAACTCACCCTCATTCAGTTCACTATTACCGTATTCGACGTAATAAGCGCCCCGCTCTAATAAGCGCCAACAGCAATATTTGCTAATATATTGGTTGTGAGTGAGTGAGTGAGTATGGTTTTACGCCGCTTTTAGCAATATTCCAGCAATATCACGGCGGGGGTCTCCAGAAATGGGCTTCACACATTGTACCCATGTCGGGAATCGAACCCGGGTCTTCGGCGTGACGAGCAAACGCTTTAACCACTAGGCTACCCGACCGCGCCATATTGGTTGTGAACAATCCCTATTAGCACTCCTTCTGATTGATCAATGTACACAAGACTTAAATTTATTTGTGTATAATACACACTCGTGTGTTATATGTACCCTTAATTATGGGTAATTAAATTCTAGAAAAACATATCTGTCGTATATAAACATTTCAGGCTGTCAGCATAAATTAATGATCTTTCAACTATTTTTTTTCCACCAAAATAATATTCCAATAAGAGCCCCCTATTTCTAATTTTGAGTGCACCCTGGGCGCTGATTATGTAGAATACGGTATGTTTATTCAGCAAGGTTACGTGGGAAGTAATGTGGGAAATACATAGTAGTTTCTTGGAATGTACTGTTCACGCAATTCGGCATACACCGTGCATACAAACAAGAAATGATACTACTCAACGAAACCTTTTTTACAAACATTGCAAAACCTTTCATTTCTTGGAACATTTGCATATCTGCCAGTCTCGATTTTCAGTTGGTGAGAACTACATCTAAACTTTGCTAAAGCTACACGAGATTTATGGATAGGAATATACTTAATATAATGCTCTTGACACACTATAGATTTATAGATAGAGTAATTGAATGTTTTTGCACCACGTGACAAGGATGCATGCCAGTCTTGCTGATAAATACATTTTGCTCTTATCATAAATTCTGATAAAAATGATTGAATACTACCAATGCTTTGATTATCCCAAACATAGCCAAATCCCATTTTAAATAATACATTCCTTAACTTTGAAACCCAATTGCTTTTACCATGACTCATATCTAACATGATCTAACAACATCATCTTATAGCATTTCTTTGGTACTCGCGAGTCTGGCATGGATAATAATTTATACCAATAATTTTATACACAGCTTCTAGGCATAAATATATACAGGGTATCTCGCGAGTCTGGCATGGATAAAAATTTATACCAATAATTTTATACACAGCTTCTAGGCATAAATATATACAGGGTATCTCGCGGGGTCTGGATTGGATAATAATTTATACCAATAATTTTATACACAGCTTCTAGGCATAAATATATACAGGGTATCTGGCGAGTCTGGCATGGATAATAATTTATACCAATAATTTTATACACAGCTTCTAGGCATAAATATATACAGGGTATCTGGCGAGTCTGGCATGGATAATAATTTATACCAATAATTTTATACACAGCTTCTAGGCATAAATATATATAGGGTATCTGGCGAGTCTGGCATGGATAATAATTTATACCAATAATTTTATACACAGCTTCTAGGCATAAATATATACAGGGTATCTCGCGAGTCTGGCATGGATAATAATATATACCAATAATTTTATACACAGCTTCTAGGCATAAATATATACAGGGTATCTCGCGAGTCTGGCATGGATAATAATTTATACCAATAATTTTATACACAGCTTCTAGGCATAAATATATACAGGGTATCTCGTGAGTCTGGCATGGATAATAATTTATACCAATAATTTTATACACAGCTTCTAGGCATAAATATATACAGGGTATCTCGCGAGTCTGGCATGGATAATAATTTATACCAATAATTTTATACACAGCTTCTAGGCATAAATATATACAGGGTATCTCGTGAGTCTGGCATGGATAATAATTTATACCAATAATTTTATACACAGCTTCTAGGCATAAATATATACAGGGTATCTCGCGAGTCTGGCATGGATAATAATTTATACCAATAATTTTATACACAGCTTCTAGGCATAAATATATACAGGGTATCTCCCACATTCACCACATACAACATGATTTGGAGTTGATGACTGTTATATAACAGTTAAGTGGATGCTATTTTCTTCTTCAAATACTTTTCTCGCCAAAAACCCGGGTTTGATTCCCCAAATGGATACAATATGTGAAGCCCGTTTCTGGTGTCCACCGGCGTGATATTGCTGCAATATTGCTAAAAGCGGCCTTAAACTATAACTCACTCACTCACTCACTTCCTTTTAATGTTTCATATGAACTGATTTACACAATATTTATCCATCTTACACTCATTCGTGAGGACATACCGTATTCGACATAATAAGCGCCCCGCTCTAATAAGCGCCCACGGCGATATTTGCTAATATATTGGCTAGTGAACAATCCCAATTAGCACCCCTTCCAATTGATCAATATACACAACACTTATTTATTCGCGTATAATACGCACTCGTGTGTTATATGCACCCTTAATTATGGGCAATTCAGTTCTGGAAAAATGTATCTGTCGTATATAAACAGTCAGGCCGTCAGCATAAACCACAAAATTTATCTTTCAACTCCTTTTTTTTCCACCAAAATAATATTCTAATAAGAGCCCCCTATTTCTAATTTTGAGAGCGCCCTGGGCGCTTATTACTTTGAATACGGTATATCATACTTTCCATTCCATATAAACTTACGAAATGTTCTATTTAGATCTTTAACAAATTGATCAGATGGGTTGGGTAAAGCTGACAATATGTGCACTAGAGTTGATTACCGTATTCGACGTAATAAGTGCCCAGGGCGCTCTCAAAATTAGAAATAGGGAGCTCTTATTAGATTATAATTTTGAGTAAAAAAAACAGAGTGGAAAGATCGTGAATTTGAACTGATACAAAAGAAAAGTGTGCTTATTACACACGACAGATATATTTTCCAGAATTTAATTCCCGATAATTAGGGTGCATATAACACAAGAGTGTGTATTATACGCGACATAAATAAGTGACGTTGATCAATCAGAAGGGGTGCTAATTGGGATTGTTCACTAGCCAATATATAAGCAAATACAGGGCTCAAAGTTCACTTTTTGACTTACTTGTTGTTAACTAAGTAAATATTTTTAATAAGTAGCCAAAAGGAAACGTAAGTGGCCATGCAACTTTACCTATTTAAACAATCGTGATAAATAAAAGATTATGTTTATTTGAAGTTGTTTGTTATTTATTATAACTGATTACAGTTAAAGACATCAAATTTGCACACAATGCTGCAATTGTAACAATGTTAAATGTTTGAGCATTTATATTAGCTGGCTCTCAAATAGATGTTTGTTTTGAGTACTGTCAAACATGATGACATGATCATGGATAGTCACTTTAAAAAGATACTTTACTTCAATCTTAATTTTGAACACAATGGTGTATGCCTGATGTCCTGAAAGATTGAAAAAATCAAAATGTCATTGAAATTGACTTTATTTAACTTGTAACATTATGGGAAATAGTGAATATGTTTTTTAATTTAGCGATAAAAAATGATAAATTGAAATGGAATGCGTATTTCATTCATCGTGAAATGCCAGAGATTTAAAAAATGAATGATACGACAGGTAGGTTCATAAAATTATATACTATTTTGACGTGATTATGGCTTGGTTGGTCTACTGGCCTGGGGTGTCTTGGCCAGTGTACAGGCCTACAGTGTTGAAAGAGTTAAATTCATGATTTTTTCATACTCACCAAGAGATAAGTGTTTTAAAATATTTCATTGCATTTCTCAAACTTCACTCGCAAATGCAACCAAATCACTCACAACTTCGAGCCCTGAAACATCGCCTTGGGCACTTTTTAGAGCGGGGCGCTTACTACGTCGAATGCGGTATAAGTGATTTTACAACAGCGATTTTGCCAGTAGTGAGTGAGTGAGTGAGTGAGTGAGTGAGTATGGTTTTACACTGCTTTTAGCAATATCATGGCGTGGGCTTCACACATTGTACTCATGTCGGGAATCGTCTTCAGCGTGTCAAGCGAATGCTTTAAATAACCACTGGGCTACCAAACCGCCCTGATCTTGCCAGTAAGTATCAATTGGCTGTGTTTCAAGTTTGCCAGCAATCTGTTATAGTTATTTCTAGTCTACTTTAAGTGTAAATAACCAATAGCTCTTTTATATACTCATTACTGTCATCGCAATGTTTCTGTATAGATCCTCATACCCTTGTCAAGCAGGCCTGGAGAGAATGAGAGGAGAGTCATAAAAAATAACTCACATATATTTTGGGAGGATCATGAAAATAAGAACACTAAAAAATCTTTTGCATTTTTTCTTTTCAGTTTTCAGGGAGGGGTAAAAAAAGTACAAGCACATGGGGAGGGTCATCCAAAAGTATGATGTACAAGCCCTAATGCTTTGTTGGTTTGTTTGTTGTTTGACGCCGCACTCAGCAATATTCCAGCTATATGACGGCTAGCCCTGATGCAAAATAAGCACTAGCGGATGGTGATTATTTTCTGGGAAAGAGTTCCGTCCATACCCCCTCCCTCCCTCCAAAAGTAGATAATTGAGTCTGGACCAGACAATCCAGGGATTGACATTATGAGCATCAATCCACGCAATTAGGATTGATGACATGCTTCAACCAAGTCAGCAAGCCTGATAACGGGATCGGGTAGTCAGGCTCGCTGACTTGGTTGATGCATGTCATCGACCCCAATTGCGTGGATCGATGCTCGATGCCAATCCCTGGATTGTCTGGTCCAGACTCGATTATTTACAGACCGCCGTCATATCATGCATATAGCTGGAATATTGCTAAGTGCGGCGTAAAACAACAAACAAACAAACACACAACAAACAAAACCTCCAAACATCTCCTGTGCATTGCGGCTGAATCATTTCTGTTTTGGAGGGGAGATACGGACGAACCTCTCACCATTTTCTGTACATTAGTCAGTCAAAAACCTCTGACACCCCACCCATCGACACTGTAATAAATGGCGGTTCCCTAATCCAAACATTTCAAAATTGCCATCGCAGCCAAGTACAAATTCGTCCCAGATAGCAAACACAGGGTAGAGAATGCTTATCCTGCAAACTTAAATATTTAGACACTACTGATGTAAGTGAGTGCAGAGCCGTTCAAGTTGACTGTAAACAAGGTCACATGTTACCGTTATTCTACTCACAGCCGAGTGTTTCAAGTTGAGCAAGCTGCCTGTATGAGAGTACCGAGTCGTTATCGCCATGGACATCCGCAACTTATAACTGTGTAAATGCCGTGATGCTGTATTCCTGGGATTCCCATTCAAAACATTAATTCTCTCTGGCCTAATTCACCTGAAAAGTCTCTCAAAGTATGATTTCCAAGGGAAGTAAGTCTCGTTGTTAAAATCCGGACATGGTACAATTTGCATTTGTATGGAACACTAATAATGATACAATTCGTCTTTCCACGGTTTCTCAGAAAAACAACGTGGCCAGGGTATTACAATTAATACAGTATTCACAACTCGGAAATTTAATGTCGCCCATTGTCGTCCATTTATGGCGTCCATTGACGACCGTTACGTCTGTGGACTTCATGGAAGCGGGTCACAGCTGCCTCATGTCAGAACGGCCTCAAAGGGTAAAGTCAAACCGGCCGCGCAACCCATAGTCAAAATGGCCACGCACAAAAAGTCACGACGGCCACAAAAAAAGGTCATAACGGCATGACACAAAATAAAGAGGACAAACTCAAGTATTGTGTCACAGTAATTGTTTGATATACATTATATAACAGTTCACAACACCATAATATGCACACAGATCTTAATTCAGCAGGCACTAACTGGTAGGGCTTCCACGAGTCCAATTTTTTGGACTCGAGTACCCGAGGGGTGAAACTCGACTCGTACTTGAGTACCCGAAAATAGGACTTCCTTTAAGAATATTGGTTCATTAGATCAAAATTGCCATCTAAAAGTAATAAAACATGTTATAAGTATAATTGAACTGCACTGAAATGTAAATAGAAAGCGTCCACTGAAATAGCACATATATACCAGCTAATCAGTAGTTAATCTGTGTAAGGGAATACACTTGGCATTTGAGTCGGAGCAAAGAAGCAATAATCTCCTTGATACATTCAATTTCTTAAGGAAAAACAATAATTACGTCTATTTTATGTGACATTCTCAATTATTCTAATTTACATCTACTTTCTACAAAGAATACATTATTCAAACAAATTTTTTTGAAGCTTTAATCAATATATTGATGAACAATTGAACATTGAAACAGAGTGATCTCCTTTATCGAGTACTCGATCTCCTTGATAACGGACTCGAGTCCATCTAAAACCGAGTACTCGTTGAAGCCCTACTAACTGGGGACTACACAAGTGATTACACAGTTCCATATCACATATCAAACCCATGATCCATGGTTTGAAGCGCGTATGTTCAGCATCTCTGATGGTGTTATGTCGCCTTTCTTGTACGATCTCCAGGCCGCGCAGATTTCTAAAAAATTCTTACTGGCTTGTAGAATTCCTTTTGAAGTAGCGACGGAGCTTGCCAGCTTGCATCAGCGAGACCCGAAGATCAATGAAAGACGTCTCCTTGTGTGAGTGAGTGAGTATGGTTTTACGCCGCTTTTAGCAATATTCCAGCAATATCACGGCGGGGGACACCAGAAATGGGCTTCACATTGTACCGATGTCAGGAATCGAACCCGGGTCTTCGGCGTGACGAGCGAACGCTTTAACCACTAGGCTACCCGACCGTCTCTCTCCTTGTGTGGGGCAGGGACCAACTTGTATTTGCCAAGGGACTGTTCTGAACTCTCGGAGTTGATCCTTCTGTTCCAGCCTAGAAATGAAAAGAATATTCATTAATCTATCATATACCCATATCCATATATATATATGGTTTTTTTCGTTCTTACCCTTGCAAGTTCTTGCACACATGATACACGCACGCACGCACACACACATATATATAATATATATAAAATACAAAAGTCTGTATAACTTACTCAACCGGTTTCACGAATGTGATTTTCAAGAGTGAAAACATAAGTCAATTTAGGGACGAAACAATACATATACAATTTATATAAGTGTTATTTAATTAAGTCCCACGCCATCGTGTTTCGATATATATATATATATTTATACCGTATTCGACGTAATAAGCGCCCCGCTCTGATTTGCTAATATATTGGCTAGTGAACAATCCCAATTAGTACCCCTTCCGATTGGTCAAAAGACTTAATTATTCGCGTATAATACGCACTCGTGTGTTATATGCACCCCTAATTATGGGCATTTAAATTCTGGAAAAATATATCTGTCGTATGTAAACATTTCAGGTTGTCAGCATAAACCACGAAATTTTTCTTTCAACTCTGTTTTTTCCACCCAAATAATATTCTAATAAGAGCCCCCCTATTTCCGAGCGCTTATTACGTCGAATACGGTATACGTATTTGCACGCACTGCGCCAGACCGTACGTATTCTGTAGCGACAGATCTATGAACGGAGACCAATTCTTACTCGGAATCCCCAAGGAGTCATCTATGAAATAAATATCCACATATGAAAGAAATTCTCTTTGAAAGAAACTTTCAATACTGGAGTCTAAGTAACTATTTTGTCACTGTGCCGGTTACGCCTAATCCAGTTTCCACAATAAAGGCACTGGGAAGTTTCCATACAAATTATGTAGGGATCAATCATTGTAAATAAATAATTATTCTGTGTGAATGTCCTTAGCAATATATCAAATATAAACCGGCAACAATCATGCATATTAGGTTTAATATCATATATTTCTGTTCTACACTTTGCATTCAGTTTTGTTTCAGATACGATGTGGACAATTTGGGGGGAACATGTGTAAACATTGTTAATAACTTGTCCCTAATGACAGCTTCAGACTCGCAGACGATATTGCGTTGAACGAATGTGCTGGGTGCATGTCATCAATGAATTGAGCTAAATCTGTCACAATATCTACTGTTCTTCATATTTTTGGTAACTTTCTATACGATGGAGCTTCCAATCGAAGAAAATGATTTAGATGACGAGACTAAAAAGCGAGGAGCTGCAGGTAATAGTTTCTCTGATTCGGAACGGATCAGATTTCCGTCAGGTTTTCGAGGTGAACGCACCACTGAAAGATGATAACAATTTATGCACATTGAGGTGTGCTTGCATTTGTTTAAGATGAATGCGTTTTATATCCCTTCGTTGTGTGCAGCTTATGAAAAAGAAACATATATGATCCAGGTTTCCGACTGTTAGCTTACGTCAATATGGCAGCCACTCGACCTGATCAGCTGGTCGTGTTTTTTTTTTGGAGGGTCTGCCTTCTTTCAGTCTGATCAAGTGTGAGTCGAATATGACAGGAGCTCAGTTTTCATATAGCTAGACTGTTGTTAGGTAACAAACAAATAAAAGTAATAAATTGTATTTATATTCAACCAACGTGAAATAGTTGCAGTTTTGCCTTGATAAGATCCCTGTGGGTATAACTTGGACCCTGTGGTACCACAGCATTCATTCTTTCGCAGCATTTGTGATTTCCGGTAGGTCACGCAGGACACGATAGTAGCGGCTGTCTATTAATACAGATCAGTAACCAGGAAGTGCTCGCTTCATAAACAATTTCCTTTTCCTCAGAATGTCTCGTCTGAAGTGAGTAAGCATTTATTATTGCTGAGTACCCTATTTTCGAACGACACCGATTTTCGAACAGACATAATGAACATGATTTTGTCGCGTTATAACGAGAGGTGGGACGTCAACAAGGATGTCGCCCTGAGAGTGCACACTTTCATCCTGCCAACATTGTGTTGATGTGAAGTACTGTACACCTGTCAGAACAGTCACTCGTCATTCAGAATTTTGGTGCTTGTGCCATGATGAAAAAACGGTGTGGAATAGTTTGGACATTATCATTTGAAAAATATTCATATTTTGTGACTAGGTTTCAAACTTTCAATTACTGTTTGAGTTTCAATGCCAACCTGCAAGAAATATGTTGAGAACTGTGTGCCAAAACATGTCTGTTCATTCATGAAAATCCTGCTAAAGTACCAAACCAATCAGGGTCCACTTGCACAGAACAATCTTAATTACAATAGATCTTAGGCGGCTACAATCAACTTTACAATCACCATACAATTGTCCTATTCCAAATCGATCTTAGCGCAATGGCTTGCATTAAAAATTTGAAACATGTTTATCTCCCAATTCACTGGGTATTAATTATTTTGATAATTATTTTTAAAAAGTGTGAATTTTAGGGGCTCTTATTAGAATATTATTTTGGGTGAGTTGAAAGAAAAATTTCGTGATTTATGCTGACAGCCTGAAATGTTTTTGTACGACAGATATATTTTTCCAGAATTTATAACACACAAGTGTGTATTATATGCGAATAAATAAGTCTTTTGTACATTGATCAATCGGAAGGGGTGCTAACTGATATTGTTCGCTAGCCAATATATTAGCAAATATATTAGCTGAGGGTGCTTATTAGAGTGGGGCACTTATTACGTACTTGTATTTTCTTTTTTTAAAATTCATATCTTAAAACCGCTCATCCCCGCACTACTCGATTTTTGATTTAAACCTGTATGATTTTGCTCTTCAACTTGTATTTATTTATAGATCAATTTGATGATAAACCAAGGACAAAATAACTGATACGAATGTGACCCAAAAGAAATACAGGGGGAGCATTAAGACACTGGGCAAGGTAGATTCTACTCTATTGGCTTGTACAAAGGGAAACCACTCCCATCTAGAGTATAAACTAAGATTAGCTGCCCTTGAGTTATCCAAAAGGTCACGGACGTCACTAATCGCTTGCAGACAACTTAGGTTTTTCATCCTTCCCTTGTTTAATATTGCTTAGTGTGGTGTTAAACAACAAATAAACAAAATGCATACATTTACTACCAGTAACCAGTCCTTTGAAGTTTTCACAGGCCTCAGACTACCAGAATATGATCACTTTAACAACATTGTTTTACCAATGCACCAATATGTCGGGAATAGGTAAAAATTAACTGCTTGAGTACTCATTAGTTATTACTCATCGAGTACACATGGACTTGCCTGAATTTGCTGAGTAAACAAACCCCATGCCCACACCGGAAAATTTTGCATAAGTAAATTCAGTTTCCTGCAATATCTACACTTTTAGAATGATTTACCATCATATTTGTCCATTGAAAGTTACCATTTTGTTTGTACAACTGTTTTCAGAAAATTCAGGGAAAACTGTTTCGTTTATGACTCAGAAAAAACACCTTTTGCATCCTGTTCTGATACTCATTAATCATTGCTGTTTTGTGATTGGTCTCAATTACGACAAAAATATCAATTATTGGTTTGTCATACAGCTCTCTTATAGCTGGAATATTGCTGAGTGTAGCTTTAAAGATCAAATATGCAAAAACAGCTTCAAACTGAAACATAGAGAGATATGGAAGATGTTTGTTTCTTTGTTGTTTAATGCCATACTCAGCAATAATCCAGGTACCGTATTCGACGTAATAAGCGCCCAGGGCGCTCTCAAAATTAGAAATAGGGGGCGCTTATTAGAATATTATTTTGAGTTGAAAGATCGTAAATTTCGTGGTTTATGCAAACATCCTGAAATGTTTACATACGACAGATATATTTTTCAAGAATTTAATTGCCCATAATTAAGGGTGATATAACACACGAGTGCGTAATATGCGCGAATAAATAAGTCTTGCGTACATTGATCAATCGTAAGGGGTGCTGATTGGGATTGTTCACTAGCCAATATATTAGCAAATATCGCCGTGGGCGCTTATTAGAGCGGGGCGCTTATTACGTCGAATACGGTATATGACAACAGTTTGTAAAGAATCAAGCCTGGACCAGACAATCCAGTGATTGACATCATGAGCATCAATCTTCACAATTGGGATATAATGACATGCATCAACTAAGTCGGCGAGCCTGATCACCCGATCCCATTAGTCGCCTCTTACAAGCACAGTTGCCTCTAATGGCAAGCATGGGTTGCTGGAGACCAATTCTAACCAGGATCAGATGTACATGAAATGAATATAGTATGATAACGAACATATGTTACAATTATGAACTAATCATAGGGTTCAAAACATTTGCAGAATTAATAGTAGATTTAGACTGATGTGTAGTACACAATGAGAAAAAGTACACATTTTCTAACTGATAATTTTTTATGTATTGCAAGGAAATCTGCAATGCGTCAACTTTGGTACAACACTCCGATATTCCTGTCTGCACCACAGTATAGAGATTGATTGTTTCATTGAAATGTCGGAGATTTTTATGAACATATATGTTGATATAGACAGACAGCCTGTAACATCTGTTGACATGAACACAGGTATTTCCATACCGGAGTCAGATGATATGTATTTGTCATTGTCTCGTTTGATGATCAAAGGTTTTAAATTTGTTTTCCATGTATGCAGCAGGGATTTGTCCACGATTCCAAACTAAGCGTCCTTGGCTGGCAAATTTGGAAAAAAAACTGTTATTTTGTTCAAATTAAGCATTCTTTTTTCGTCTTGTTATCGGTAAAATACAAGTCACTTTGATAAATGCATGAAATTAGTTATGACTTTATTAAAATGAATTGGAAAAGTTTTAATTTGCATATGGGCATTTTAATGACATTTTTTTGCAGTATAACTTTTGAGTATTTCAGCCTCTGAGTAGGGTTAGATAAGTTGATGTGTTGGTCTCACTCATTCTTTGATAACTAAAGTTAAGGGATCCTTTCTAATAGTTGATGTCCTATCTCTAATATCGAAAACAAATATTTTACAAGTACATGTACCAAGATAAAAATACTATAGTAGAAAACCTCAATCCAGGGTAGAATAGGTCTTCAGCAACCCAAGCTTGCTGTAGAAGGCGACTATGCTTGTCATACAAGGCGACTTACGGGATCAGGTGGTCAGGCTCGCTGACTTGGTTAATGCATGTCATTGATCCCAATTGCGTGGATCGATGCTTATGATATCAATCATTGGATTGTCTGGTCCAGACTCGATTATTTACAGACCGCCGTCATATAGCGGGAATAATGCCGAGTGCGGCGCAAAACAACAAACCAACCAACCAAAATCAAGGATGCCAGGATCCTCCTTAATTTGTAATACCACTTTGTAAGCAGGTACTAATAAGAGTTGACTTGGGCAACACGTGGAAGTCATTGATACATTCATAACTGTGAGTGTCTATTACAGTGTTTCGAAATTAAGGGGGATCCAGGAGTCTTTGTGTTGTTGTTCTATGGTATTTGAATCTAGGGGCCCAAACATCTTTAACTTTTAACATTCTAGGGTAATAGGATACCTAGCTTGACGTTAATTCTTACTTTCGATCACATTATTTAAGAAACAAAAGACGAGTGGGAGTTGTTTATCGTACAATAAAACACAGTCGGAGCCCCTTATGGTTTATTCTCCTTGTAGTGTTTTAATGCGCCCCTCATTTCTTATTCCCCCTGCAGTGTTTACGATAAATGATGACCACACGTCATTATATTTCTTATATGAGATATCAACAATTTGTTCAGCTTCTAATAAAATGTAAAAACTCAGAGCTACAGATAAGAAGTGTATTTGCGTAAAATGTGCCAAAAAAATATTCAAAACCCAATTACTTTCAATTAACTTGCGTACAGAAACGCATGCATCAAATGTATGAAGACCCAATAAAGCTTTTTCAGCATGCGTACAAAGGAGCTATTTTCCGAAACAGAATTACAAACTAATTTACTTTCCGAGTCAAGCCCATATATATCAAAAACATTATTTCATTTTGTTTTAAATCTTAAAATGTTCACTAATTTTGCGAAAAACCCAATAGAGTGATGAATAGATGAGTGAACAAATATTGGTAACCCAATGAAAAATGTAATAACCCAATTAAGATAGAATCCCTAGAGTAAAAACTCAATTGCTCAAAAAGTTATCTGGACCTCTGCAAACTTTAAGAATATTTACTCATATTTAAATAATGATGACTCCCTTAATACAACTGGGCTTAAGCAATGTTGGGCAAATCCATTTTGTGAACAGGGGGTAAAGTTTGGTATTTCCCGGATATTCTCACAAGTTTCACATCGATTAACTGTACCTTTTCTCCCAATACCAACTGTTGTATCGCCCCCAGTTTTGGGTGCGATCGTTCGGCCATAGTGTTTATCTGAGTTGCCCAGCTACATATATGGGGAACATCTAACTAGACGCTTCCCTCTCAAAAGTAATGTTGTCCAATCATGTATGACGTCATCAAGGTGCGAGCATAATGTTCGAATCTCCAGAAAGGATCATTCGGCCATAGTGTTTATCTGAGTTGCCCAGCTACATATATGGGGAACATCTAACTAGACGCTTCCCTCTCAAAAGTAATGTTGTCCAATGTATGACGTCATCAGGGTGCGAGCATAAGGTTCGAATCTCCAGAAATGATCGTTCGGCCATAGTGTTTATCTGAGTTGCCCAGCTACATATATGGGGAACATCTAACTAGACACTTCCCTCTCAAAAGTAATGTTGTCCAATGTATGACGTCATCAAGGTGCGAGCATAATGTTCGAATCTCCAGAAATGATCGTTCGGCCATAGTGTTTATCTGAGTTGCCCAGCTACATATATGGGGAACATCTAACTAGACACTTCCCTCTCAAAAGTAATGTCGTCCAATGTATGACGTCATCAAGTTGCGAGGATATGTTCGAATCTCCAGAAATGGCGTCATGATAGATCAATGTTTTGTGGTGAAATAAACCACACATTGTTTTCTGTGATTTATCCTGTAGTAGTCTTATATAGATGGCTGTAAATGTTTCATTATAGACACCCTTCTTATATGTATATCAGTGTTGTAGCCTGGAGCTGGTCAGGGTGAGATTGGTTTGTAACTTAGCCACCTATCTCATAGGCCTGCAGTGTGAAGCAAATTCACTGACTCGTCAGTTTCTCAGCAATGTTATATGGGTCAGTTGTGTGACGAGCGACCCATTCGTTCTCAGGTAATGGGTCACTTGACCCACAAGAACGGTAATCGATCTGATGCTCTGCATTCATATGCCATGGATAATGTTTGTTCACGTTTGCTCTGTGCTACTGAGAACTACCGTATTCGACGTAATAGGCGCCCCGCTCTAATAAGCGCCCACGGCGATATTTGCTAATATATTGGCAAGTGAACAATCCCAATTAGAATGAATCCCTTCCGATTGATCAATGTACACAAGACTTATTTATTCACGTATTATACGCACTCGTGTGTTATATGCACTCTTAATTATGGGAAATTAAATTCTGGAAAAATATATCTGTCGTATATAAACATTTCAGACCGTCAGCATAAACCACAAAATTTATCTTTCAACTCTGTTTTTTCCACCAAAATAATATTCTAATAAGAGCCCCTTATTTCTAATTTTGAGAGCGCCCTGGGCGCTTATTATGTCGAATATGGTATGTCAAACCCTGTCTTTCCTTGTGTGAAATTAGCAATCATATCCATGGAGTATGATCAGAGTTTTGTTTGATATGTGTTGTTTAAGTAATGGGACACATCAATTTCTCCAAGATAATGTATACCCTCATCTGGCAACGAAACCATGGAAGTATGCAAATTGGGAGGTCTTTGAATTGATAGGAACATCAGAACCTGTATATATTATTTATTAACTCACAAATTCATACTTAGAATACTCCTGATGAGGAGGCCCGAGACATTGCAAATCAAAAGAAGAAAAAAGTTGCTATCCATTAAAGCAGGCTGATATTCAGCCCCAAGAGTGCAGGAAATGTCAGTTTAATTTTCCAGATGGGAAGTAGAAATTTCCCAATTCATGTTAATATGGTTATTACAAATGTAATGGCTTAGTCGAGTTGACTTATATTTCACTGATGACATGATCAATAATGAGGATGAGACATTTATGCCTAATTACATTAATGCAATGAACACCATGCAGTGAAAGATAATAACATGTTTGTCAGAGGCAACTTGATGAAGGGATTCCGGGTAAGAATATAGGTTTGTAACGGGCATTTTGATTGGGGAATTCTTGGTAAGATTATAGGTTTGTACGAGGCAACTTGATCAGGTGATTCTGGGTAAGAATATAGGTTTGTAATAGGCAACCAGTGATAATTCTAGGGTAGGGCTTTGTGCTTTTAGCCCCTAAATTTTAAAAAAGGCCCACATTTCCAAATACAATGAGGCATTTTGACATTGTGCTGTATGGGCAAGTGTGGGTGCACCTCCGGAATATATGAAAGTTTCACATAAAGGGCCCATGTCAGAAAATTCCTAGAGTGAACCCTGTAAGAGGCAACTTGATGGGGGGATTCCGGGTAAGAATACAGGTTTGTAAGAGGCAACTTGATGGGGGGTATTCAATGTAAGAATACAGGTTTGTAAGAGGCAACTTGATGGGGGGTATTCAATGTAAGAATACAGGTTTGTAAGAGGCAACTTGATGGGGGGTATTCAATGTAAGAATACAGGTTCGTAAGAGGCAACTTGATGGGGGGTATTCAATGTAAGAATACAGGTTTGTAAGAGGCAACTTGATGGGGGGTATTCAATGTAAGAATACAGGTTTGTAAGAGGCAACTTGATGGATCGGGTATTCAATGTAAGAATACAGGTTTGTAAGAGGCAACTTGATGGGGGGATTCCGGGTAAGAATACAGGTTTGTAAGAGGCAACTTGATGGGGGGATTCCGGGTAAGAATACAGGTTTGTAAGAGGCAACTTGATGGGGGGTATTCAATGTAAGAATACAGGTTTGTAAGAGGCAACTTGATGGGGGGTATTCAATGTAAGAATACAGGTTTGTAAGAGGCAACTTGATGGATCGGGTATTCAATGTAAGAATACAGGTTCGTAAGAGGCAACTTGATGGGGGGTATTCAATGTAAGAATACAGGTTTGTAAGAGGCAACTTGATGGATCGGGTATTCAATGTAAGAATACAGGTTTGTAAGAGGCAACTTGATGGATCGGGTATTCAATGTAAGAATACAGGTTTGTAAAAGTCAACTTGATGGATCGGGTATTCAATGTAAGAATACAGGTTTGTAAGAGGCAACTTGATGGATCGGGTATTCAATGTAAGAATACAGGTTTGTAAGAGGCAACTTGATGGATCGGGTATTCAATGTAAGAATACAGGTTTGTAAGAGGCAACTTGATGGATCGGGTATTCAATGTAAGAATACAGGTTTGTAAGAGGCAACTTGATGGATCGGGTATTCAATGTAAGAATACAGGTTTGTAAGAGGCAACTTGATGGATCGGGTATTCAATGTAAGAATACAGGTTTGTAAGAGGCAACTTGATGGATCGGGTGGTTAGACTTGGTGACTTGGTTGATTGCAGTTGCATGGATCAAAGCTCCTGTTGTCAATCACTGGATTGGCTGATCCAGGCTTGATTCTTTACGTCCTGGCATGGTCATATAGCTGGACTATTGAGTTTGGTGTTTAACAAACGACTAGGGCTGGGCTTGGGACTTGTGGTGTTGAGTTGCAGATTGCCCTAATTTGAAAACCAAGTTCTTAGAGAACAGGAAGTAGATCTTGTTGACTTGTCAGTACAAATGCCCTACTGAGATAATTTATTTACAAAAGAATACATATGCTATGGTGTAGTGCTTTGTAGGGTTGTTACGATAAATCAAAATATTGTTATATTGCTATTGGTTAAGCACTTAAAGTCAATAAATCATTTGTTAAATCAGTTTCTGATCAATAGTATCGATTTCAGTTATGCTACTATCACACCAAAGTAGTTTTATCCCGTTCTACCCCGTTCTACAAAGAAATACTAGAACGGGCTGTGGTCACGGTAGAACATGTGGTTTGGCGTAGAATATGATGCTAGTTCGTTCATAAGCAGTCCTCAATACGTCTATCTCGTTCTTAGCCAGTTTGCAGTTCGTTTGTATGCAGTTCAGATCGTGTAAAAGTGCCAGTTCACCTCATCCCGACAACATTTCGAAGCAGTTCGAGCTCGCCCGTAGCCTTTCTGAACCCGTACTTAACCAGTTCAACTTCGTTCTGTCTCGTTCACAATACGTCCAAGCCAGTTCTAACTAATTCTTAACCCGACCAACTCGTTCGCAGTACGTCCTCATCTCGTCCCAAGTGCGTGTGTATTCGCGTCCTGGCCCGACTCCTATGGATACTGAGCGCGTTTAAGCCAGTCTTCATTCAAGTTCAGGGCTCCGAGCTGTACACATCATGCCTCCAAGAGACGTCGACCCGGTCGGTGTGCACACATACTGAAATTTAGGTCCGACTGCACCATGTCGTAACACGTCCCTAGCAGGCTTGAAGTACGGCAGTTCCGTTCGTAATACGTCTTTCTCGTTTTAAGTAAGTTGTCAATCCGACTAATTGCAGAATGGGATGGACGGGATAAAATTTTGAGCAGAATCATAGTTTTAGAGCACCCTCCCCGTCCTAGCCCGCCCATGAAGTTCGTAAAAAGACTGTCAATAGTTGCTACAACGTCCACTACGTTCATACACAGTTGGAGCTCATTCAACAACATTTTCACAAACGTATTGAAAACTAGTTTGGTGTGATGGGGGTATTAGGAATATCGATAGTTTCGATTGTATTTCCCATATCAATAAAACAGATGCAATGCTGTTCAAATTTGCTTTTTCTTTTGATCATGAGTGGTAGTAATTTACATTTGGTAATGTGGAAGTTTCTTTTTCTTAAATTATTAGAGTAAAGAAAAATACAGATTAGTCATATCTCAAACTTTATTTTTTATTTGTTGTTATGGTTATCACATTTAACGGAAGCTTCAGTCCCACTTTTTAATTCAACTCTAAATATCCATCTAAAATATCAATACTAATCGCAGTAGTTTGTTTCAGTATCAATAGTTATTGCAATATTGATTTCCAGACCATTAGTCACCCCTAGTGCTTTGGTAGCTTGTTGGAGGGAACTTGGATAACACATATATTCAAAATCCTTTCTTTCTTGTGGTTTCTTTTTCTCTGACAATTTTTTCATATTTTCCAGAGGTGTTTTCTCCGACAAGAATAAAGTTCCCCAAACACATACACACTGATGTTGATGACAAACTGCAGGCATTGGCAGATTCCATTTTGAACCGAAGTCAGATAGGAAATGAACAGGTCAGTCGCCAGGTGACTGCCCCATTTGAAGTACCGGAATACCCGATTGAAGAAAAGGAGAACAGAAGCTACTTCGAACGACAGTTCAGCCACAGGTAAATGTTTGTATGTTGATATAACCCAGCTTTCGTGTCACCAATGGTCAAACAGTGATATATTATTTCTTTCTGTCTGAAAAAAATACTTAAGTTGCTGATACATGGATTCATACAGTTTGCACATCGGTTTATCGATTCATACCTAAATGAACCGAAAAACATACACAGTCAATCGTTAATTAAAGTTCAGTATTAACTTATCATCATGTTCTCAGTACACCATGTGTTCTAATATAAGAAAATCCCATTTATAGGAGCTGTCATTTGGGTCAGTCTTCCACTAGTTTCAGAGTCACAGAGCTTGTCAGAATGTCCCTTCAGAGGTATACTGGGTGATTTATTTAATATTATTGCTTTTAACGATGTAATGGCTTTGGAGAAGGGTCATTCCACATCCTTGTATAGCGGCCATAAAATTTCCGAGTCCCGTGAAGGGATTCGACCCACGGACCTTTTGATCAAAGGTCGGACGCCTTGTCCACATGACCAAAGAGGTTAACCCCGTCAGCAAGCTGACAAGGTAAGGATGTCATCTGTGGGATGACTCCACACCCTGCTACATACTCCCCCGTCAACAGAAGGCACGTCCCGGGCCGCATAGTAGGGTACTGAGGCTTATTTTGCTCAAATTTAATATGAACATGCTTAGCCCCACGTTAGGCGCCAATGTAGCGGCCATAAAATTTTCGAGCCCCGTAATGGGATTCAAACCACGGACCTTCTGATCAGAGGTCGGATGCCTTATCCACATGACCAAAGAGGTTAACCCCGTCAGCAAGCTGACAAGGTAAGGATGTCATCTGTGGGATGACTCCACGCCCTGCTTCACTGGCAACAATCAACCCTGTCAGACTTCACTTGTAACTGTGAACACAGCACTCTCCATGCATTCATTTCCCCTTTTCAGTTACTGTACTTGTCATTGTGATGCAACATAATTAATGCCCCAATTGCCACAGTGATAGAAATTAGCACTAGCTAGTTTTGATAGCTTTGTCACTATGCAGTGTTAATGAGCTGAGCTTATAATTTTACTAGATTCTAACTTGATATTGTGGCTAAAATCTCATGCTGGAACTGTAGCTCAAGGAACTACTGTAAACTAATCTGCTATGGGTTGGTTGAGCGTGAACACTTCTACACTCACCCTTGGCACAGTGTTGGAACCTTTTAGCTTCTGACTTGGTTCATCCAGTCTGTGCCAACAACTTTTGCATCTACTTCCCATACTTGTCTCTTAACTTCATTTTCTGTAGATATTAGTCTATTATGTAAACTATAATTGCTGAAGCTGACTAGACCAAACAGATTTTTACTAGTCCGGGCTCAGACTAGTGCCTAAAGTCTCAAACTTCACACATGTTACTTCAAACCCATCTTTCAATGTTTAAGAATGTTTCTTGGTGGGGCCATATTTGATTATAATTCTGATCGATGTTTCTCATATTTATTTATTCAATAAGATTTCTTTTTCTTCTAAAGAGAAAACTTTGCAAGTTGGCATGATGCATCAATAATACATTTAAAGTTTTGTCTTCCAAGCTTTACTTCTTTACATAAGTTGACTTACAAAACTGGGGGTGGAGGGGACCCTCAATAATTAATTTCAAGGGTTCTCACAGGAAATATGACTGTCCTGTACAGTAATGAAATGGTGTAGTGGACTGTGTGTTAAGATAATTACTTTGGAGCCTGGAATGGTTGGTTTGTTGGTGTGTTGTTTAACGCCGTACTCAGCAATATTCCAGCTATATGATGGCGGTTTGTAAATAATTGACTCCGGACCATACAATTCAGTGATTAATATCATAAGCATCAATCCACACAATTGGGATCCGATCGATGACATGCATCAACCAAGTCAGTGAGCCTGACCACCCAATCCAGGGGTAGAAACTAACATATTTAGTCCACTAGTCCTTATAATGATAACATATAGCAAAACCCTTAAATATGGCAAATTTCTACTAGTCCTTTTGATACCTTAACTATTGGGCAGTTTGGCAAGGACTACAGGACTAGTGCCAATTTCTACCGCTGCAATCATGTTAGTCGCCTCTTACGACAACCATGTTGCCTTTTATGGCAAGCATGGGTTGCTGAACCTATTCTACCCTGGATCTTCACAGGTCGGAGCCTGGAATGAATCAATTTGTGTTGTATGCTGTACTGTAAGATTTGATAATTATCTTAATTACAGGACCCTTGTTTTCTTGTCAGGAATTAATTACAATGACTATTATTGCAGTCTGCAAGTTTAGTTACTAGGCTGAAGCCCAACTTCAGTGTGGTCTAGTAAGCTCAGCATATAATTGTCAAAATGATAACACTGAAATGTACTAAAATGATTCTAAGAGATAGTTCAGACTAGTAGAGTAGACTCAACGATTTTTGGCACAGACTGTTATTGTGCGCCCTTTGGAACAGTATTACCTTTGTCTGCATCCATTCTATACATTTGTGAGTATTGGACACAAATTTCAGCATTGTGTAAAACCCTGTTTCCATGGATACCAACTGCCACTGTGGTGTGACTGGCACAGTCATGTCAAAAGACGTTAAAAGATGGTACAGGTTGTTGTCCTGCCTGGAGCCGGAGATTGAGGGGATAAAACTAGCACTGCTTGCGTTAGAGTCAGTGTAATGTGTCTGAGTGGGGTATCTATGGGGTAACTGTGTCATCAGATCTCAGCGGGCTAGCACTATAATACCAGCCAGAACCTTTGGAGTCTAGTACTAGGCAGAACCTGTCACTTGACATCGTTTTCAGTAGATCTTAGTGTTAATGTATGGACTCTTATTAGCATAGCTTACTAGACGGAAAGAAATTGTACTTGGCTCGGGTTTAGGACTACTGGCTAAGGGCGCAGACGTCAAAAGCCCGGACTAGTACAAGCAGCCACACACACACGTGCATGCATGTTCGCTGTAATAGTGTGAGTGAAATATTTCACCTCACGTCACCTCACCTATGTTGTGCCAGTCAACAAATCACTTTATGGCAGTGATACTGGTTCTGTTTCCTCTCAACAGCCGTCCATGAAACATTGGTTCCTGTGAGGGAACTTGCCAGGTTACCTCCTTTTGACCACAGAAAACCTGTTTGGCTGGCGAATTCAAAGTTCTAGGCCCACTTGCACAATGCGATCTCAGCGCTAAGATGATCGTAACTCCCATACTTTAACAAAGGCTTACAATAGTCGTAGCACTAAGATCGCTTTGTGCAAGTGAGCCCAGGATTGCATTCCTTTTACTGTCATTAGTGTCAACTTTGCAAATGGTGCAGTTTTGGTCACATGGGACTTTTGGTACGATGTCAATCACTGGATTGTCTTGTCCAGGTTTGATTATTTACAGACAGCTGTCATGTAGCTGGAATATTGCTGACTTTATGAGTTGTAGCTGAGCTACAGTTGTAGAACTCAGTGTTAACATAGCTACAGTTGTAGTACATACAGTTTAAACTGAGCTACAGCAATAATACTTACTTTTGGCCGTCTTAAGCCAGAGGTGACATTTCCTGAACCCGAAGAGCTCATAAACTTGTTGCAAATTAAGTTCAAATGATATGCACTCCTCCATTGAACGAGAGATTAGTCATATGACTGCAGAACTGATATCTTGATGAGTATATGAATTTTTCACAGTGGTCATGATTGGTGGATGAAGTCACAGACACCCATAACTGCTATTGATGCGCTGTAGGTACAGTGATCGCTCGCTATTGCGCTCTTCGATAAAGCGCTACCTCGGTTACTACGCGCGGTAACGCATGGCTCCCAAAATTTATGTACACTTTTATTACTGAGAGTTTTACACAGACATAATTGTATTGTTGTTCGTTGTTCATTTGCACATAACGCTTCTCATTGCATAATCAACCGTTTATCGCTGAATGGAGTTCTAATAATCTGTTTGAAAACATCCGCGGCAAGTCCCGGAAATACGATTGTTCAACTAGTTAACTTTTCACACTATACATCCTTTGATCTTAGAAGCGCATGCATGCAATAAAAGAGAACCACAAGCGAAGTTTATATTCTTAATTAGTGGGCAATCCAATTTAAGGCTAAACTGTCACACACATGTAGTTGCTGTCACAACACGGCGGTCATTCATTTCGTAATCGCGCTTTCGTAACATCGCCTGTTTTTTCCCCGTAGTTATAACAAGCGATTTCATTGGATTAAAATTTGTTTCTAATGACGCTTTCTTGCCGAAATCTGCTACAAGTTTCGTGATTGGTCAATTTTGAGCACGTGACCTCAGGCAGCCAATCAAGCTGTGATACCAAGCTCGTGTTTGATAAATTTCATAAGTTAGCGAAAGATTTTTTGTTAAATCGTGTTATTCTGAACGTTTTAAGCAGGAAATCACGATATATATTAAAAATATGGAACTTCGCGAATGTATCGTGCTAGGTTACGAGCTGTGACAAAGATTTTCATGCATATATTTTTGCATTAAACGTTGTGTCCGAGCCGATGAATATTATTATGCGTCCCTTGGGCCACAGTATTTTTTTTCTGTGTCCATTCTCTTCGTGGCTACTGGACACTCATTAGTCCATCAGGTAAACCCTGGCCAAGTTACTACCCCTCCAAATAAAACAATACTGACATATGCACGTTAATGATTCCTGGACATTTCTGCATTGATCTATTTATATGAGGCATTACACTTATGTATATTCCCTTAAGTGTCTCCCAATTAGCAGCTAATTGCTGCACAGGACAAAACACTAGGAACATCTTTGATCATCTATCACATTGGCTGTGTGGACCATATCTATACATATTACAATACACTGTAAGTTTCATATCTGTTTTTAACATATTTATTCAAAACAATTTTTTTGAAAATGTTACTGTTAGGTATTTCAAGCACATAAACACTAAAATATACAGCTATGAGCGGATGGTTATAATTTATATGCCAGTTTGTATACAATTACAATACCAAATGATATGTCGAAATTAGAAGATAAATACTGTGTGTGTGTCTATTTCCGGGATTTCATCGAGCATTTGCATCTTGGAAATTCATCTCGAGACCCGAAAGCGTTAGCTTGAGGGTCTCGAATGAAAATTTCCACGCCATTTTGTAAAAGTCGGTCACCGGTAGTGATGTCATACATTGTAAACATTGTTGTACATATTTGGTAATTTCTTTGAGGTGTAAACTTTCAACTTGGCACCCAGCATGTTCTTTGTCTTTGTCTAGTTTGCATTTTCATCATCGCCTTGATAATCCAGATATGACGGAAACATTTTTGTGTCGGGTCACATTATTTATGATTTGTAAGCAGCACATAGGATGACGTCACTTATGACAGTGGTGTCGTGTATAATGCGCTACTGCAATCATGACAAATTCATCGGTTCGATGCTAAAAAGGCGCTATTTTAGGGTGTGAAAGAAACAGATTACTGCACTCGTGCCTGTCAGATACCACTGATCTTACAACTCGTTGTTACAGAGCGTATCTAACTCGCTTTCGCTCGTTAGATACGTTTTGACTGACTGAGTATGGTTTTACGCCGCTTTTAGCAATATTCCAGCAATATCACGGCGGGGGACACCAGAAATGGGCTTCACACATTGTACCCATGTCGGGAATCGAACCCGAGTCTTCAGCGTGACGAGCGAACGCTTTAACCACTAGGCTACCCGACCGCCCCTGATACGTTTTGAAACAACTCGTTGTAAGATCAATGGTATCTGACAGACACTCGTGTAGTAATCTCTATTTCATACACAGTGATTCGGTCGCTTGCTTCAGGGAATTTAAATCATATTTTCAAACTTTGACATTTGGTCATGTGACCCAAATTAGCCAATCACAACACAGAACACACTTTCTATAGGTTTACAATATACAATATCTTGAGAACTGAGTTTCACTTTGTGGGAGTTCATTGGAGTGTGAACCATCACACTAAGAGGTTGGACAACAACTGTATGAATATAGTTGCTTTGTGAAAGTTCAATGATGCTTTTCACCATGTATTGACACACAAGACTAGGTTTGAATACTGTCATGCTTGCTCCACATAAGGAGAACCAAAGTGATATGTTTTGGCTTGTGTATGATGACACACTTGTAAACAACCATCACCATGATCAGCAGCCGTCTGTATGTATTTTTATTTACCTCAAATTGTTGGTTTCGCTGCAATGGCCAATGTTTCTGATTTGCGTAACATTCAAATTTCCTCCCACTTTAGGCTGGCATTCTTTAATTGCACTTAAATCCTGTTGAAAGTTGTGTTTTGTCCGACCTCAGTTTGTGCAAAAAACTTTCGAATTTAATATACTTATTACATCATTTTCAAAGATTTTTGTGTTATTATATGGACTGTTGTTAGCTGAGATTACTAATCCAAACAGAATTTGACTAGACACTGGCTTTGCATGCACATGGGGCTTCTGTAGTATTATCAGGTGTTTTGAGAAGGACACTCCTCTGTTTCCCTCTCTAAAGGTCCAGGACCGCCTCTGTGGTCTAGTGGTAGAGCGTCCGCCCGGAGAGCGAAAGGTCCGGGGTTCGATCCCCGGTTGCGTCATACCAAAAGACGTTAAAAGATGATACTTGTTGTTACCCTGTCTAGCACTCGGCATTAAGGGGCTAAAACAAGGACTGGTCGTCTCGGAGTCAGTATACTGTGTCTGATTGGGGTATTCATGTTAAACTGCGGCATCGTATCTCAGTGAGCTAGCACTATAAATCGGCATCAGTCCGAACTAGTACAAGCAGCCGCACAAACACACACACGTACATGCACATCGCTATATAAGTGCAATAATCTTGGACGCAACGTTAAACCCCATTTCACCTCGCATCTAAAGGTCCAAGCTGGGGACACACAGTGACTACACACACTGCAGCAGTGCTCATGTACAACCAACAATGGCCATGTCTTTCTATTGTATTCATGAATTTTAACCCCGTCATGTTTTGCTGGAATATTGCTAAAAGCGACGTAAAACTATACTCACTCACTCACTCATGAATGTTACCTTTATGGAACCAGTTTCCTAAATGATACATATATGTTAGTGGTCATTAGACCTTTAAGATTCAGATTTGTCATATGATGGAGTTTATAGTAAAAAAATTGATGAGTTCATCTTGAAATAACAGTGCAATTGCCCTGTATGTGTATCACAATGAACAATGACAAGGAGAATTCATTTACATTTCAAATACATGTCCCACTATTCACTTTATGAATGATAATAGTACTGTGATGTTCCTTCACATTTTCTTCAGAGAGCTTATCCAAAACGGTCTGGAACATGTTTCCAAAACAATGTCTAGATGTTGTAATTACTGACTGAAAATACAACACAGTTTGGTGATAAACTGGTATTGCTCTATTGATGGATTACAGGAAGATGTTCCTGTTCCTATTGTGGTGTAAACTGGTATTGCTATATTGATGGATCACAGGAAGATGTTCCTGTTCCTATTGTGGTATAAACTGGTATTGCTATATTGATGAATTACAGGAAGATGTTCCTGTTCCTATTGTGGTGTAAACTGGTATTGCTATATTGATGTATTACAGGAAGATGTTCCTGTTCCTATTGTGGTGTAAACTGGTATTGCTATATTGATGGATTACAGGAAGATGTTCCTGTTCATATTGTGGTGTATACTGGTATTGCTATATTGATGGATTACAGGAAGATGTTCCTGTTCCTATTGTGGTGTAAACTGGTATTGCTATATTGATGGAATACAGGAAGATGTTCCTGTTCATATTGTGGTGTAAACTGGTATTGCTATATTGATAGACGTTCATTTTGTGGATGTCTGGTATTGAGTTGTGAAGAAACATGACGCTGGTATTCAGGAGTACATTGACTGACATTGTACTATCTCTGCACCAATGAGTTTGTAATATATATGAGCATATGATCTTGTTCTGTGTTTCTGTATTCTGTCTGAAAAGACCCGTGAAGACCTGGGTTAGAATAGGTCTTCAGCAACCCATGCTTGCTGTAAGATACAACTATGCATGTCGTAAGAGGCAATTAACGGGATCAGGTGGTCAGGCTCGCTGACTTGGTTGATACATGTCATCATATCCCAATTGCATGGATCGATGCCCATGATATCAATCACTGGATTGTCTGTTCCAGACTTGATTATTTACAGACAGCCGTCATATAGCTGGAATATTGCTGAGTGCGGCGTTAAACAACAAACAAACAAAACAAATCTGTCTGAAAATAAACTTACTGTTCCAGGATATGATGAAATGATGACTGATGCGTGTCCCATGGCTGTGTGATAAACCTTATATATCCTGCGTGTTGCTTGTGTGATTGACTGCTCCTGTTTGCTGTTTCAGGTTACCCGCTAATGTCCTCAATTTTAATATCACAGAGTGAGTTTGATAAGCATGGGTGTAGACAGTATTTGTTCGTGTATGTTGCATGATGTCATTCCTCCTGTAGCCTAGTCCCTGTATTGTCATGTATGTGTGTAAGAGAAAATACATCATTGCAATTCAGTTGGTCTTTCATTATTAATCAGTGGCTTACCTGGATTAAGATTGATTTTTTTAAAGTGATGTTTGTTTAATAGACCCACCCTGATCCACAGAAGCCATGACTTTACAGTACTATTAAGGAAAATGTCATGGTCCCTGGTACCTCTTGCCAGAATCGGTTTACAATATCAGCACTTTTAGCATCCTCAAAGGAACAGTGCATGCATTAATGTGGAAAATCCTTTGTTATTTTCATACTCATAGCTTGAGTAATTGATAATGTATCCTGCTTGTGGTACAAATGCCCCAGAAGAAAATGTAATTTGACCTGGGCCAACTTGCACAGAGCTATTTTAGCGCTACAACTATAGTAAGTCTATGTTAGAGTATTGGAGTTATGATCATTTTAAGATTGTGTACAAGTATGAGATCTGCATGATACATGTGCATCCAATGCATCCAATGCCTTTATTGTTACTCCTGTGAACATGTCATTACAATATGTTTTGTAACGAAAGTGTGTTTAGCTTCTGGTTCTATACTTTGATGGAGGGCAATGTTAGAATTGTTTGGAAGTCTTGGGGTCTTTACATTCTGTTCTATAGCACTTCGAACCCTCCTCCTTATGTTAGCTCTTCACATAGGACCTTTGACTTTCATGCCTATTTTCAGAGCTCCAGATTAGCTTTTGGTGTTGTGGGTATTTTACCCATGCATTTTAAAATCATTGGTTATCAGTAATTCTATCTGGGTATTCAAATTTCTGTTACCCACTAGTTTTTACACATGTGGGTATTTAAGTTAAATATTTAAAAACACTATTCATCTGGTCCCTGCAAACTGGTGTCGTGTGGGTTCGAGAGCTTTATAGGACTCAAAAATACCACGATACTTCCACAAGAAAGTGTGATGGCAAATGATCATGATTTAACTGTCATCTTGGAGTTTGGCAAGGTTGATGGAATGCCTGTTTATGATTTCAAAATAAGTTGCTGATTTGCTAATCAAATACGCAGGGTTACTTCACAATATTTTGATGATACGCACAAGTTTTTTTTTTGTAGCGTATCTGTTCGATGCGTATTTGATACGCTTGGATTTTATTTAACTGCGTATTTCTGCATTTCTGATGCGTATTTTATGCAGATACGCAGCTTATCTGGAGCTCTGTACTTTCTAACACTGTTGGGCAAACCACACAGGCATCTGTGTCACTCGTACATTTTCTTCGTTTGATTTCTTTTTTTAGTAGAATGTAGAAATGCAGCGCTAAAAATTGGCACTAGTCCTGTAGTCCTTGCCCAACTGCCTTATACCATATTTTCTTGAGTATAGTGCGCACCCATGTATAATGCGCACCCCCCTCTAGCAGGTTCAATATTTTGGAAAAAAAAGAAATTTGAATATTATGCGCAGAAATTTTTTACACCGTACCCTTTTAAGCGAAGTCCGGCAAACGAACGGGTGCTGAGAAACTTCGTCAGTACAAATTCGAAATTTGAGATAAAAAATCACCAGACATGTTTATTTACCGTTTAAATAGTATTTATTGTTCTGCTAGGCATTGTTTTATATTTAGGGATTAAGATTACCTTGCGTATTTTCTCGTAAACTAAGCTGGAAACAGCAATCAGCTGTACACACGTTTTCTTGGAATCGACCGGTGATTCGGTCAAGACACACCCAATGATATAACTTTATAAGATTTTTAATGCAAGGATCGGCAACAATTGTATCTGAAACTATTTTATTTATCAGGAATAATATATTCCATTATTTTCTTAATTATATGCAACCTTTAATAAACATATTTAAAATAATAATAACCCTAAGCGAAGCAGCTGATCGCTATTCCCGGGTATTATTTTTTACATGGAACATGTCTGACCAGTCACCGTCAAGGCTCACGCGCACATGATCACGTGATCGCGAGAATTTCATGTTGACATAGAATCGTCAAACAAAAACAAATATGACTTTTAACGAGTCAAAGTATGTCATTTATGATATATGTATCCATTCTCTGTCAACTAAAGTTTGTTTCAAGGCGTCAATAGCGGTATTCTGACCGTGGTTGCTGTTAATAACGGTGAGTTGTGCGATCTTCCGATCCCTTCACACACGATTTCGCCGAAATTAATAAAAACAATATTATCAGATTATAAGAAATTTTGAATAAAATCAATGAAATAAGTTACAAACATAAGTCCAGATATACAAAGAACACTTTTTATAGCCAGACATATAAATTACATAATTATTTTGCGTACTTCAGTATGGATTTGTTGACATGGTATTCCCGGTGTTTCGTGTTCACGGTAATGTCTTTCCATGGGGGAAAAAAAACATCCAAAATCATAATTCGTGTATAATGCGCACCCCCTTCTACACAGCTGTGTTTTTTCAAAAAAAAGTGTGCACTATACTCAAGAAAATACGGTATTCAAATTTCTGTTACCCACTAGTTTTTACACATGTGGGTATTTAAGTTAAATATTTAAAAACACTATTCATCTGGTCCCTGCAAACTGGTGTCGTGTGGGTTCGAGAGCTTTATAGGACTAAAAAATACCACGATACTTCCACAAGAAAGTGTGATGGCAAATGATCATGATTTAACTGTCATCTTGGAGTTTGGCAAGGTTGACAGAATGCCTGTTTATAATTTCAAAATAAGTTGCTGATTTGCTAATCAAATATGCAGGGTTACTTCACAATATTTTGATGATACACACAAGTTTTATTTTTGTAGCGTATCTGTTCGTTGCATATTTGATACGCTTGGATTTTATTTAACTGCGTATTTATGCATTTCTGATGCGTTTTTTACGCAGATACGCAGCTTATCTGGAGCTCTGTACTTTCTAACACTGTTTGGCAAACCACACAGGCATCTGTGTCACTCTCACATTTTCTTCGTTTGATTTCTTATTTATGGTAGTATGTAGAAATGCAGCGTTAGAAATTGGCACTAGTCCTGTAGTCCTTGCCCAACTGCCTTATAGTTAAGACATCATAAGGACCAGTAGAAATTTGCCCAATTTAAGGGTTTTCCTACATGTTATCATTGAAGGACTAGTGGGCCAAAACTGTTGTTTTCATAACTGGAATTGTATGTTTGTTTTGACTCATCTGCAGTAATGATATGCTACTGACTAAACCATCTACCTAATGATGAAAGTAGTAGTGTACAAGAACAATTTACTGGTCCTTCCAGAATTTTTCTAATCAGACTATGTTTCTTTCGAACACTGACACTTCATTTGCAAGTTCAGCGGTAGAAACTAACAGTTTTACTCCACTAGTCCTTATAATGATAACATGTAGCAAAACCTGTAAAAATGGCAAATTTCTACTAGTCCTTATGATACCTTAACCATTGGGTAGTTTGGCAAGGACTTTAGGACTAGTGCCAATTTCTAACACTGAAGTTAATGAATCAGTTAATTCACACTTCAATATTCAACATGAAACTGGAAAAAAAGGTGTTCTTATCATTATCCACATGTTCATTGTTAAATATTTAGACAGCGTTAGAAATTGACACTAGTCCTGTAGACCTTGCCAAACTGCCCAATAGTTATGGTATCATAAGGGTTAGTTCTAACGGTGAACGGGGGCACCCTTTATATCTAACAACCCTATGGGCATTCTGCGTTAGAGTTGGTCCCCAGCAACCAATGCTTCTTGTTAGAGGTGACTTTGTGGATTGGGTGGTCAGTGACTTTATTTCGTGTCATCACAACTCACTGCTCACTATGTCACATTGGTTTGTGTGGTAAGGGCAGTCAGGTAGCCTAGTGGTTAAAGCGTTCGCTCGTCACGCTGAAGACCCGGGTTCGATTCCTGACATGGGTACAATGTGTGAAGCCCATTTCTGGTGTCCCCCGCTGTGATATTGCTGGAATATTGCTAAAAGCGGCGTAAAACCATACTCACTGACTCAATGGTTTGTGTGGTGTTGATTGTTTATTTACAGGCCATCATCAGCTGGAATATTGTTACGTGTGATGGCAATAGTCAAACAAGACAAAACAGTCAGGTTGAACATGTTTAAGTAAAGCGATCAAAGAGAATAGTATATTGTTTTGTTCTAAGCAATATTATTTACCAAGTCACATTCAGATAGAAAAAGGGGGCACGGGTGGCCCAGTCGTCTTAGGCGCCGTGATTCGCTGTGCAGAGTTGCGTCCCTTGGGCACGCCAGAAACCTATGATTGTGGGATCGAATCCCCGTTCGACCCGATTATGTTTCTAAGTTTGTCAGCACCATACCCGTGCTCGTGGGTTTCACCGAAGTGGTAAACGTCTGAGACCTGCATCACTTCGGGCTTTCCTCCCACATTAAGCTGACACGCCGCGATATAACTGGAATACTGTTAAAAGCGGCGTTAAACCCAACTCACTCACTCAGATAGAAAAAGAATTGTTTTGATAGTTTGAAACTTTGTGCTTGTGGAATGTATCTAATCCTTTACCCTTGTATCACATTCCCTGCACGTCATTGCACAGCAATATTGCATGATATCACATAGCATGTCAACTTTGAATTTGCAAGTCTTTCAAAGAACTAATAACATGGTTATAAGTTTGCAGGGGGTCCTCCTTTTGCAAAATACCATAGACGAAACCCTGAAGGATCCTTTAATTCATACCACTCATTGCGCTAAAATACGATTGATAAGGGGATCCTTGACATTTGACTTTCTTAATGTTGTATAGTGCCACTAGTCTCGTTAATTGTCTTGAATTTACCTGAATCAGTCAAGTAATTGTGTTTGGAATGTGCTTTATATTCGGAACTTGCTCAAATTGTGATTTAATAAACTCACTCACACTCACTCACTGATTTAATAAAGGGATCCTTGTCATTACTCTGATGGTAAAATGTGGTT